TAATATGTATTTGTTTAAATATATATTATATTATATAAATATATATTATATTATATATATATTGGGGACTTGAATAAGTTCTCGCTGTTTCCCGATAGATGGTGTTATCTTAGCCTTTTTGCATCGGGCAATACTACAACCAATTTCATCGTGAAGCTCCACCATTAGGCTCGAAGTGACAGTATATGTTATTCCGCCGAAGCGTAAACAATATATTTTTTCATAGCGTTAAACATGTCGAATTTCGTGCCAAAAAAGAGTATTTGTGGGGAATTTTACTGCATTACTTTTTTCAAAAAAAATCTGCAGCTGAAGCACATAGAATTTTTGTGGAGACTTACGGCGACCATGCTCTGTTGGAAACAACATGCAGAGATTGGTTTAGACGCTTTAAAAATAATGATTTTGATGTTGAAGATAAAGAACGCTCTGGCGCACCGGAAAAGTTTGAAGACGAAGAATTGGAAGCATTACTCGATGAAGACCCATGTCAGACACAAAATGAACTTGCAGAATCATTAGGAGTTGATCACACAACAGTTGCCAAACAGTTTAAAAGCATTAGGAATAATTCAAAAGCAAGGAAATTAGGTGCCGTACGAGTTGAAGCTGAGAGACGTCGAACGGCATTTTTTCACGTGTGAACAGCTGCTCCAATGGCAGAAAAGGAAAGATTTTTTGTATCGTATCGCGACTGGCGATGAAAAATGGATACACGATAACCCGAAGCGTAGAAAATCGTGGGGTAAGCCCGGCCATGCATCAACATTGACGGCAAAACCGAATATTCATGCTCCGCTCCGAATTCCAAGCTCATGCTCTGTATTTGGTGAGATCAGCTGGGTGTAGTATATTATGAGCTCCTCAAATCCAACGAAACCTACATGGGAGATCGCTATCGACTACAATTGATGCGTTTGAGCCGAGCATTGAAAGAGAAACGGCCGCCATACGAGGAGAGACACGACAAAATAATTTTGCAGCATGACAACGCTCGACCACATGTTGCACAACCGGTCAAAACCTACTTGGACGTTCAAATGGGAAGTCCTACTCCCCCCGCCGTATTCACCTGACATTGCTCCTTCCGATTACCACTTGTTCCGATCGATGACTTATGGCCTGGCTGAGCAGCACTTCCATTCTTATGAAGATGCCAAAAATGGGGTGATTCTTGGATAACCTCAAAAGATGAGTCGTTCTTTCGACATGGTATTCGTATGCTGCCAGAAAGATGGGAGAAGGTAGTGGTTAGTGATGGGCAATACTTTCAATGACATGTTCTTTACTCATTTTTTTAAATAAAGCATTCATTTTCACGAAAAAACAGCGGGAACTTATTCAAGTCCCCAATATATACATAATGTTTTATTAATATGTATTAATATTTATTATCTAGTATTATTTGTATCTATTATTATTATTAGTATCGCTCATTTGTTGCAATAAAAATAACACAACTAAAAAATGTTTATGTTTTTCTACCAATAATTAGATCAAACAGAAATTATTTGTTTTATATTAGTAACACAACTTTGTGATTATTGTGTTTGTATACTATAAAAACAAATGAGCAATATATTTAAGCATATTAGCCAATCACATTCCAGCAAACATTTTATCCCCTCACGTGAACAGATCTTTTTAAACAGCTTCTTCACATGAATGCGATTATTCACCATTAGTACATGTTGTTCTTTTCAATGCTCTGGCTGCGTTTAATATGAGGCGAATAGAAGACAATTTTAACCATTCTTTAATTGCATTTTCTATAACAATAATAGGAGCATTAGGCTCCACCCTCTTGACAGTTACAAAAACAATAAGATTCATACATAATGGAACATTTTCTTAACTCTATTATTATTAGGCATTAAAAATAAAATAAACAAATACACACCAACAATCAAGTTCTTCGTTTTTAACGATTTAAAAGCTTTTTTGGGTGCTCTACCTGCCCAATTATACTCTGAAGCATATTTATTCGTAATTAATTTTTCCATAGTCCTTCTAGTAATTTATGAGATAGTAGTGCCGCCTGATATACTTAAGATATTTATCTACAATACAAAACTATAAAAATTGTATACAAAACTTTCAACGAACACTGTACAAATGCTAAGAATTGTAATTCTTACCATATGTTCAAAGTTTTGTGTAGTATCTAAAAATTTTTCAATATCGTCTAACTCTTCATGTGAGTCAACAGGAATTTTTGAAACATTCTCCACATTATTCGCTTTTGCTAACGGAAATTGTGCCATGAATTGTCGTATCATAGGAAGAAGTATATTAATAGATTTTTCCAAGCTCACTATTTTCGTTAAAATTACGTAAAAGACATCTGAAGAATAATGTTGCTTATTAAATTTTCATGTGGTAAATATATAAGATAAAGTTTGTTTTATCAATAAATAATTATCTCCAAATATATTTTAATGATTGTAACTTTTATTTTATTAACATATAAATGTCATATATTATAAATATGTTTTTATATCATAACTCAGCAAATATCAAATAAAATAATATAATTATTGGTTATAAGTATGTTCTCATTTTTAAGTGTAAATATAATATAACATGTATGTCACATAACAGTTATATTATTGAGTGAGAAATCATAATAATTATGTCGTTTATGTTATTTGAAGTTTTCTGAAAAGTATACATTATATTCTTGAAACGATGCATATATGTAAGTTGAGTAGCTTTACAATATAATTGTATACTTTACAATAGTAAAGTGTACTTTACAATAGTAAAGTGTACTTTACAATAGTAAAAGTATACTTTACAATATAATTATACTGCGCAAAAATATGTAGATATTCATAAAGATTTCAAGAAGCAATCCCCAGAGTCAAAAAAGCTTTTGCAAATAATTGCTGACTAATGTTATATCATTTTAGAATGATATTGTAATCGCTAGGAAATCGTCAATATTTTACCAGATTTATTACGTTCTGAATTACGTTCTGGTCGATGTAATGTTGGATGCTGTCTGCAAAGGATTAACTTCTGTTGAAGAATATCTCTGAGATCTCATTTCAATATTAGGTGAAGTTGGAGAAATACTTTTTTGTAAAGAAAACTCTTCGTAATTACTTGCAATATTACATGAACTTCTTGATAAATTAATTTCTTTTAAGGGAAACTTCTGATAATTCTTTAAAGCACTAAATGGGCGGTTTGGTAAAATATTTTTTCTAGAGGAAGACTCTTCATAATTGCTTCCAATATTAGACAAACGTCTTGCAAAATTATTGTCTTTTGACACAGATTGATCGTTATTATTTGCATCACTACATAAACTCCTTGGTAAATTAATTTTTCCTGAGTAAGACTTTTGATGATTTTTTGAAGCACTAGATACACAGTTGGAGAGAAAGACTTTTCAAGCATTTCAGGTATAATATCATGCAATCTATCAGGCCTTTCTAACATATCAGATATTGTATGAACTGATTCTGTATCATAATTATTGTAACGCTGCTGAATATTTGATGCATGTTTTAAATCTGAGTTCAAATTTATTTTCTGATCCAAATCACAATTTTTATTCAAATTTATATAAGCGTTAACTGAATGTGGTATAGAATGTATAGATGTGTCTGTAAAGCATCTAAGTTAGAATTAGCTATCCTCTCTGTCTGATTCTGCTTACATTCTTCCAATAAAACTTTCACATATCTTTTTATATTTCTTTTTGTTTCTTTGTCTATCTATTTTACTTTCTTATTAAAAAATAAAATAAAAACAGAAAGCTAAAAAATGTTATGCACATTTCCACCTGAAATATGTAAATATATATTATGCAGGTTAATACATTTTTTATATATTTTCATATTTAATACAACAGAATATTCAATAAATGTAGCTGAACCGTCTCGTTTAGGTTAATAAATCGAAGTCGTTTATAATGGAGGGCTCATAAAATACAAAGAATTATCAGTACACCACTATTATGGTATGTAATATACAGCTATTATAGCTATTAATTTAATATAATTCTTACCTTAGAAGCCTATCTTGCCTTTTCTTTATTACTTCGCGTCTTCGCGAGGTTGCTTCACTTTTGTTTATGTGCGCACATGGTGTATCATTAGAATCAAGGCGCGCATATATTGTTTTGTTCTTTTTAGCTGCACTAGTTTAGCAGTGCAATTAAAAAGAACAGATCTTATATAACACGTGCACTTGTACGCAATTATGCATATACGGAATACTTAAACTTTTTAGCTAAATTGATTGCACTAATTAATGAAATATACATACACAATGATACAAATACGGCATATATGTGAAATTTTCACATTTCTTTGTACGCAAATTTTTTGTACTATTGCAATCAGTTTAAATAAAATAAACATACTACTATTAATAAAAATTATTTTTTTCACTTAATAAATAGTGCAAAATAAACTTAAAGACTGTTGAAACTATTACAGATAAAACAAATTATGATTTTCATTACAGAGAAATAATTCTTTCTTAATTATATGGAAATGTAATAAATACGTTTCAGAAACGCAAACATTATGTTTCAGAAACAGTTATGTACAATATGTTTTGGAAACGTTTCTGTTAAAACGTTTATTATTGGTGCTTTATGGTTATGAAACCACAGATACGTTTAATAAACGTTTTCGAAACGTGGGTGTGTTATCTGGGTATGTCATTTGTAATAATATTAATAAAAAACATTAAAACGGTACAAAGTTTTTGCGTACTCCTAATAATAATTGTAAATAATAATAACAAGAATAATAATAATTATTATAGTTTTAGCATTGCTATTATTTTTAATCTTACTTTTTGTTGAAACTTATTACTTTATTGCATTATTTTAATACAATTTTAGTATAATTTACGTATATCTATATAGATATACGTAATACATATCGCATTTCGCCTAAGTTTATTATTATTTTTAATCGGGTGTGTTATTTACTACTACTACTAGGAAGACCGTCGACTTAAGTTCATTCTCTTTCCAGGGCGTGCTCATTACCGACGTGGAGGAAGGGCAACCCTGTTTACAGTGCGGGGAGACGTGTCCCGGATTTTCGCCACATGCTTGGAGGTAAGTGATCTCAGCGAAACAGAGGGACGGAAAGAAAGATTTAAGCGTAAACAAGGGTCGCAGGTCTAATTAAGCGCAACATCTTGGGAATCAATCAATTTCCGTTGCTTAACCCATTAATGCCGAAAGTTTTCATATCGTGAATGGTTTCAGCGCTTTAACTCTTTAACGCCAGACTCTTTTATAAGTGTTTTAAGAATAAAATTTGAGTTTTTTTGAACTGATACTATAAGTAGTAATAACCAAAAAAATATCAGAATTTTATATTGGTTATTTTTATAGTTCGTTTTTTGTTTATTGGTAAATATGACTTGGATCCTAAAAGCATATACGAAAAATATTGAAGACAAAAATTTCGCGTTGATTTCAATGTTATGAATTTTTATGAAAATGTTCGAAAATTTTAATCCAAAGTACATTACTAGGGGTTTTCGAGATCGCTGTTTCCGAATCTGCTGCAAGAATCATAAAAAATGAATGTTTGTATTGATTTGTAACGGTCTTTTCCAAAAAATGCGATTTCTTCTCGTCAATCTTTTTTTTAAATCATGGATTTCATCTTGATAAAAATGTTGAATATTACTGAAAAGTACTCCAATCGTGTCCTCGAGACTTGTACTTAAAACATATGTGGTTTTGAAATTTTTTACAATTTAGTAATTTCAATATGACGATCATATATATAACTCGTTATGAATGTATTTTTATGAAAAATTATCCAAAATAAAAGTTGTCCTGTTGATCGAGTTCTTTCACGTGGTAGGCTTAAAATTTGGGTCCGATATACTTTTTGGCCTAACGGGGCCCAATGTTGAGTTTTTGGTGCAAAACTTATATTTTTTATTACAGATTTGAAAAGCACAGAAAATTTTACGTCCAGATATGTATTTTTGAAATTAAAAGTCTCGAGGACACGATTGGAGTACTTTTCAGTAATATTCAACATTCTTATCAAGATGAAATCCATGATTTAAAAAAAAAATTGACGAGAAAAAATCGCATTTTTTAGGAAAAGACCGTTACAAATCAATACAAACATTCAATTTTTTATGATTCTCGCAGCGGATTCGGAAAGAGCGACCTCGAAAACCTCTAGTAATGTACCTTGGATTAAAATTTTCAAGCATTTTCATAAAAATTCATAACATTGAAATCAACGCGAAATTTCTGTCCTAGCCGGCATTAATGTGTTAAGAACGGCGGGACGCGTCTCACACGTCAATTGCGTCGCGGCTGTTGTCACATGTGAACGCAGAACAACAACGCTCCGGTCCGTCCGGGACTCGCTAAAATCGCACTCGCTATGAAATAGCAATCCTACTGCAATCGCGTTCAATTGCGTTCTAGCGTTTATCGCGTTATCGCGGAATTAATTCGGCCGTCCGCGTGATCCGGAACGCGCGCCGCGCGGAGAGAAAGGTCGGCTCGCGGCGTGGATCGGCGAAATCGGATTGCCGAATCATGCTGAAACTGTTAGGCGAGGAGCCGCACGATGTATCCATTACCCCGGCAGCGTAACTGAGCAGCGGCTGAAATTACCGCTCGGTAATTACCCGCCGTGACTTACGGCCCAGCAATGCGGTAATAGCGAATTAATTGCCCAGGGGGCCGAGAGGGGGAGGGAACAGCGCGGAGGCGGGGTTGCCTTCCAGCATCTCTCCGCTGCGAGGAGAAAGGCGGACCCTTAGTTGTCATGTAGTGCATTTATGGCATGGAGATGGATTCACAGTTATATCCCGCCTAAGGACAAGCCAAAGCACGGAGGAGATTGTGTGCGGCGATTCCCGCGATAATCGGCGACGAGGTATTCATCGCGGATTCGCAGACAGACGCTGCACCCTCTATTGTTGTAATTGTGACTACGGCGAAATGTAGGAGACATTGTCTTTCGTAACCATTTTCAGCGATAGGACGCGCTCGCGCATATCAATTAAAAAGTGAACAGGATGAACAGGATGAAAGGTTGGTCAATACAAATTTCGTATCATAATTTGCATCCTCCTTGAATTTTGATTTTTTCCATCTGTGCTTATGCTTTGAAGAAATGACGATGAGAAGGAAATTATTTAACTCTACTTCTCGGAAAATATAGACTACATTCTAATTTCCGTAGATTGATAAATTGAACTCTGAAAATAAAACAGGACAACATATTTTTATCATTATTTTTTTATGTTTTATACAATCAGAAAAAACAAAATCCTTTTTAAATATTACATTATTATCTCTCAGGCGGTTGTTGTTCTTCAAACAAATAAAGTCGTGACGAAAGATTGAAGTTTCTTTTATCTTCATACAAGAAATTAAATACATGTTTTATATTTACAAACTCTTACAGGGTTGCCATTCATATTTCGAAATAGAAAAACTTAAAGTAGAGGAAAGAGTCTTTAACACAGTAAATTTTAATAAATTATATTTTAATTGTTGTTTATTATATCATAAAAATTAAAACTAAATATTTATTTTATTTTGGTTTAAACCAAAAATACAGTTTTTGTGTTATAACAGAATAATAATAGAGTTAAGAGAATAATAAGAGTAATAAAAATAACAATCAACTATGAATTATAACGCGTAATATATTCAGTCTCGAGTTTTTTTATAGTTATAAACAATCGAGTCGATCTCTTTTGTTTAACCTATATGTTCATTATATATTTGTTTAAGCTTCTATTGAACCACTAAATCTATTTTTAATTTATTCTTATTTTTTTAATATCATTTGTTTTTATTTTTCGTTTCCATTTTTTTTACTCATTGTAATTCTTTAGAATCTGTAAACATTGGAAATTTAAAATCGAGAGTGGAAGTTAATTCTCGACTCTCGGAGTTGAATACAATACAAACGCAATGCACATGACTAATTAGCAAATATTTTGGTCTGGGATTTCTCTTGAGTACATATTTCTTCGGAGATTGTGGCCTTATATGTTCAAATATTTTCTCCCGCATCGCTTTAATGTGTAAATATTTCCACTCGTTTTCGTTCGCGTCAATATTAGAGAGTGTACAGATCGTTCAAACGTTGTTTATCGCATTTACATGCCATTTAAATTATCATGCATAAATTATTTTGAATTGAAATTTTGCTTTTATACATTGATCTTTCATATTCCATCGAACTTGTAGGACTAATGGAGGTTTGTAATGCACACATCATAAATATTTATATTTATTTGACTTGTTCGAATAAATAATATTACATTAACATTACTCTAGCTTCGGTAAAAGTTAATGTAATATTATTAACAATCAAACTGTTGAGTTATCTTGATACCACAATTATTTACTGCTGTTTCCTCGGTGTTATGAAGTTTATAGTTATATATATATATATATATATATATATATTATATATATTATTATATATTATATATATTATAGTTATATATATATAACTTATTTTTTAGAATAACTTAATATCTGAGTTGTGCATTTAATCTTTATTTTCAATTTCAATAAAGAACGATCAAAAATAATATTAATTATACAACTTACTTAAATAATCAATGTGAGTAAATACTGGAATTAATAAAGATAAGCAACTTACCTTTTCTTATTCATAATTTTTATTATTTTTTTATTGTTATTGGAAATTTCGATAAAATTTGCATACTCGAGAGGACTGAAAATGCTACAAATGATCATTTATCCTTGGATTTAGAAAAACGTTCGCTACCGAGCTGAAAATCAGAAATATAATTCATTTAGTCGTATCAACAAGGAAAAGATTTTATTTTTCCCCAGATATCACGAATTAAAATAACATTCATTGAACAAAAGTCAGGGATTTTTTCATCTGTATTTTACATAGATGGAACGTGTCACCGGCGGTGGTACGTCGATAATCAACCTGTTGAACGTGTTAAAAAAACTATTGTCCGATTCGAATAAACATAAATATCGATCATGTGTATGTTACAATGTGAAGAGGATATGAGACTGATCACTCCTTAGTGACTTTGTAAAGAAAAGGGCGTAAAGAATTTTCTTTAGCATCCGAAAAAGTGATGCGCCGAGGATTTACAGTTAGAGCTATGTATTATACGCGGAAGCGCTCGTTAATGTCGCGCGAAGGGGAAACAGGACGAACACGGCCGGCCGAAAGCGTAAAGTCGATGACGAATCGGCGCCGTACCTTCGGCGTCGTGTCTCGCTTCGTTCCACCCTCGGCGGAAATTAGTCTCGTTAGGCGTGAAAAAGAACAACAGGTCCGTGCGTGAGCCGGCGATTATTACAACCGAGGTCGTAATATGTAGGTCGTAATATGACAGAACACACGCTGTAAAAATAAATCGTCGACATTTACGGACGATGTGGTGCGTTTTCTTGCGCGCGCGCCTCTCCTTGTCTCCTCGGCTGAGAATTAAAAACTATCGATTTTACCGTCGGGACTCAAAGTTCGTTTCCTATCGTTGAAAACCTGGCTGCACACTTTGCACTAGTTTTCTTCTCCCTTTTGTTTCAGCAAGTTTCGCTTGTACACCTGTCTTTAAGTTTCCAAAGAGTACGCTAGTTTAGCAGTAGAAACACAAGCTTGGGTAGATTTTTATAGCCACAAAAAAGAAGAATAATATTAGAAGAATAATATTATTAACTGTTTTTATTTATCTAATATAAATATCTGGATATTGGGGATATAAAAAATATTAATTTTATTATTTACGATTAATACTTGATGTTTCATCAATAAGTATACAAATATGTAATTAATAATTAAACATATATAGTATAATATATAAATATATAGGGTGTCCCATTTTCAGTGAGTTAGGCAAAAGTCTTGAAAAATATGAAAGATACTAAGAAATATTTCAAACAAAAGTTGTATGGTTTCAAAGCGGACATAAAATAACTATATCATTTTGTTTATAAATGGCGCCACTTTGGAAATATTCACTGATCATTACTTTTCTCGAATAGAAATCCCATTTTTTTATTGTACAATCTTTTTCTAATTAATATGAATAACTTTTGTTTGAAACATTTTTTTATTT